TGACCCTCACCAATTCCAATATTCACCGACCATGACCCTCACCAATTCCAATATTCACCGACCCCTATATTTCACTGACCCTGACCGTCATTGACCCTGACCCTCACCGACCCTGACCATCACCGGCCCCCGGGCCCTGGGTAGTTTGTGACGGCGGCCGGGCCTTCACCTTTCGCCATGTGTCCGGGGAACCATTTCGCCAACTCACGGTTCCCGAACTCGAAGCTGGTCCGGAACCGGAGAGCGGCCAGTACCGCCCCGCACCTCATTGTAGGGGGTTCTTCCAGCGGCCAGTCTCTCACGGCGGGGCCGGGGCCTCTCCCTCTCGCCGGGGAAAGCTGCCGCTTCACAAACCCGCAACGGCACCGCCTTCCCCGGGAGGCTGCACCTTCTCCTCTGGCTGAGGCCGTCCGCAAATCCCCAGGCCCCAGGGAGCGTCCCTCAATCTCCCCAGGTCCCAGGGAGCGTCCCTCAATCTCCCCAGGTCCCAGGGAGCGTCCCTCAATCTCCCCAGGTCCCAGGGAGCGTCCCTCAATCTCCCCAGACTCAGGGAATGTCTGTCAAATACACCAGACAGACCCCAGGGAATGTCTGTCAAATACGCCGGACAGACCCCAGGGAATGTCTGTCAAATACGCCGGACAGACCCCAGGGAATGTCTCTCAAATACATGGGACAGACCCCAGGGAATGTCTCTCAAATACACCAGACCCCAGAGATGGTAGGAACTGCCGATGCTGGAGAATCTGAGATAAGAAGGTGTAGAGCTGGATGAACACAGCAGACCAAGCAGCATCAGGGGAGCAGGAAAGCTGACGTTTCGGGTCTGGGCCCTTCTTCAGAAATGGGGGAGGGGAAGGAGGCTCTGAAGTAAATAGAGAGAGGGGGAGGCGATGATAGAAGGTGGATAGAGGAGCAGATAGGTGGAGAGAAGACTGACAGGTCAAGGAGGTGGGGATGAAGCCAGTAAAGGTGAGTGTAGGTAGGGAGTTGGGATGGGGGTTGGTCAGTGAGGAGGAATGGGTGGGTAGGTGGGGAGGGTGGACAGGTCAAGGAGGTAGGGATGAGAAGGGGGTCTGGTCTTAGGATGAGGTTGGGGGTGGGGAGATTTTGAAACTCGTGAAGTCCACATTGAGACCATTGGGTTGTAGGGTTCCCAGGCAGAATATGAGGTGCTATTCCTCCAATTTTCGTGTGGCATAGTTGTGACACTGGAGGAGGCCCAGGATGGACATGACATCCTAGTGGGAAGGGGAGTTGAAGTGGTTCACGACTGGGAGGTGTTGTCATTTGTCGTGAACTGAGCGTAGGTGCTCTACAAAGATGTCTCCGAGCCTCCGCTTGGTCTCACCAATGTAGAGGAGGCCACATCGGGAGCAGCGGATACAATAGACCACATTAGTGGATGTGTAGGTGAACATCTGTTTAATGTGGAAGGTTTTCTTGGGGCCTGGGATGGAGGTGAGGGGGGAAGGTGTAGGACCTCCTCTGGTTGCAGGGAAAGGTGCCAGGAGTGGTGGCGTTAGTGGGAAGTGTGGAGCGGACAAGGGAGACACAGAGAGAGCGGTCCCTTCAGGGGAGGGAAATATATCCTTGCTAATGGGGTCAGATTGCAGGTGGCGGAGAATGATGCTTTGAATCTGGAGGTTAATGGGGTGATATGTGAGGACAAGGGGAATTCTGTCTTTGTTTTTATTGCGGGGAGGGGATGTGAGGGCTGAGGTGCAGGAAACACAAGAGATGCGGTCGAGGGCGTTTTCGACCACTATGGGGGAGGGAAATTGTGGTCCTTGAAAAACGAGGACATCTGGGATGTCCAGGAGTGGAAAGCCTCATCTTGGGAGCAGATGGAGCGGAGGAATTAGGAATAGGGGATCACATTCTTGCAGGAAGGTGGGTGAAGACCCCAGGGAATGTCTCTCAAACACAGCAGACCCCAGGGAATTTTTTTCCAGAATGTGGAGAATACTGCATTTGGTATACATTCCTCGTTGCCTTGTAAAGACTTCTTTCTCATTCCCTCTGATAATTTCATGAGTGTTTGCTAGGGAATTTCTGGATTTTAAGCTGAGGATAATGAACCAATAATAAGTTATCCAATGCTGTTCAGCATTGCAATGACTTTGTGACTTTCCACATTGCTACTTCTCTTGTTCTTCACAGTGGTAGAGGTGAAATATTATTTGATCTGAAATTCTGACTGTTACTTCCATTTACTATTCAATTAACTTATGTTAGTGCAGAAAGTTTGAGAAGTAAAAATGTAACAGATTCATATCGATGCTTGATAGCTTTATTCTTTCTTTACGTGGATAGAAAATTCACGTATTTTCTGCATATTAGAGTATCAAATTTGAAACTCAAAATTATTTCACCATAACATACAATAGTTTTAAATAAATTTCTGGATGGTTTGACAAAACAAAGATACAGTACTCTACTAAAGAGATTTTTAAACAACATTAATTTAAAAAAGGAGCGATCTTAAGAACAAAGACATTTTCAATTTAAGTGATCAATAACATTGGATTTGTGATTACCAGGATGTACAATAAAACATTTTAATCACGGATAATACGGCATCAAAGAAGCTGTTGGTGGTTGGTGCATGGTAGATATTGCAATTTCTGAGCTCACATATAATGATCTGATGTAAATCTACAACATCGCAACTTCAGCATAATTTTCACTTTTTCAGTTCTGGTCACCAAGAAATAAAACATTCAAGTCATGGAAATACTACAGAAAATAAAGCCACACTACCACTAAAGGAATGAGTTACAAAGAGTGACTGGAGAATCAAAGACCCTCTAGTCATACCTAATCAAACTTTGGGCAATCACAGTCACTCATGAAATTCACTGGTTCCTTTGTAAAGGATAGACCAGCTGCAAGATAACCGAGCAGTCCAGGTAAAAGCTAAAATAGAAAATTGGCTGGAGAAACTCAGCAGGTCCAGCAGCATCAGTTGAGAGAAAACAGAGTTAATGTTGAGTCCAGTGTCCTTTCAGGTAAAAACTATACCTTGAAAGTAAGATGTGCCTGCCCAGCCCCCAGCCCCCAGCCCCAACCTGTTGCAGCTGCAAGTTCACCTTAGAGCCAACCTCCTTGACATTCAACTACAAACACCTTGCAGCTTACGGAGGACTCTCTGCTTCCACAAGATCTCCACATTAGCTAAAGTGTCAATTCTTCGATGAAACCACAGCCCTACTATGAAAGAGACTAAAATATTTATTCATTGTAATCATTGTTTTTTACTTTACCTGTATCTCACCTTTGACAGTATGTGTGAGATGTTGGATTAAAATCTCCCAGAACACTTGTATGATCATACAATCTTTATTTTTATATTCCCAAAGTCTGCTTCTGGAATTGTTTAAATGGAGAAACCACACTGAGGGTAAGAAAATAAAAACACAAAGATCACAGACACTATTAAGACACAAATTCTATCCATGATAAAGTCATGAACTTTGGTAAGTCAGAGCATTACCTCGAGGTATAAAGAATATCAAAACATTGGTTAAAAATAGCAAAGAGAAACATTCAACAATGCTTGGACAAGCATATAGATTGGACTTTCAGTTTGGGTGATGGAAATGAAAAAAATACATTCATTCAAGAATCAGTTAAATGATGTAGATCATAATCTATACAAAGGGATCAGTAGAAGAGGAAAAAGAGCCAGCAGGAGTTTTGTATGTGCTAGGAGAGTAAGAATATAGAAAACTGGTAGTGGGGAAATATGAGAATGGGGATGGAGAAAGAAACAAGCTCAGACAGAGTGGATGTAGTATGGCTCAAGAACAGCATACCATCTGGTTTGAGTCTTGAACTCATAAGTTTTACTTTAGAAGATACCAAATATGTTTTACATCTTGATCAGGTGCTTTCACACACTCCTTTCTGAACAAAGTTTCTTAATCCTTCTGGTTGCCACCAATCAATTCTTATCTATGGTCAGCTAGGTCCAAAATGTTTCTCGAACCTTGACACTAATTTGTTAGCATAGAATTTTTCATTCATGCATAGGAATACAATTCATTTAAGCACTCTTTATATCTACACTTTCAATCTCTAACACAATTTAAAAGTTTGGATACCATGTAGATTTTATTAAAGATAGAGATGACAGGTGCACTGTGGTAGATTGTTACAAAGTTTTATGAATTTTTAATTCACGGAAGTTAATGACACATAATGGTTATTCAGGCGATCTGCTTCCCTCCAACCCGACTCCAAGGCACCATGGGTAGTGGAATAAAATGTCCGGTGAGTAGCTTCACCAGCGAAAAGCACCTGCAAAGGCTAACAGTAATAAAATTAACAAGGTTATTGATTAAAAACAAAATATGCTGTAGAAATGCAATAGGTCTGAAAGTGTCTGTGATAAGAGATAGAGTTAATATTTTGAGGCCAATGACTCTTCTTCACAGCAATCATTTATGACACAAAAGAGTTTTGAAGATTGAGACAAAGCTCCTGTAAAGAAATTATACTGAATTTGTGAGTATAGTTTCCTTTACATCTTATTTGAATATCTAAAAAAGATTTTTAAGATGGATTTAAGCTCGGCATATAAATTTAAAGTAAAATAGCCATGTTATAATGCTAGAACTCATTATAGAGGAAACACAGATTGAATATTTACTACCCTTCAAGAAGTCACTATACCAGCCTGAGGTGCAGGGGGAATTGTGATAAAGATGGTTTAACCATTAACAGCTAGCACTCAAGTATGTGGGGCTTCAGGTCAATATTAATAATGATCATCCTGAATAGAGTTATTATCTGATAAATAAGAGATTATACAAGAGGTTATACAGATGTTAAATACTGTATAAGGGTGGTAGAGGGAGAAACCCTCATAAGAATTAAGAAGTATTTAGATGTGCATTGCGATGTCAAGGCATACAAGTCTATGAGCCAAGTGCTGGAAAATGGGATTCAAATAGTTGGGTGGTTGTTTTTGACCAGCATAGAATTGAAGAGCCAAAGGACCCTTTTCTGTGTTGTAGATCTCTATGACTCTATGAATTCCTTTAAAACTCACAATATATTTAAAGTCCTGACTAAGGAAAAGCCCTGAACAAAAAAAGAAATGTAAAGCAAGATACAGGGCCAGTCCACATTTTAGGCGATCCAGCAAAATTAGTTTACCAACCTTACACGTAGGAGGTCATGGAAAGGTCTCTAAATTAACAAATCCATACTGGTGGCCTAAAATACTGAAATATTACAAGACTTATGTTGAAAATTATACAGCTTGTAACCAGGTAACCAAAATTTCAACCGCCAATCATTGTCAAAAGTGCAGAACACCCGCTGGTTAAGATTATGATTGATTTTATTGAGCCTTTACCAAATTCAAATGGATACAAATGTGTTCATTTGTGTTGACTACTGTGCTAATTCTTGGTGTACTTTGCAACTTTTATTTGTATTCCCAATGATTTATCAGAAACTGCACTTATTGGCTCCCTAGATAGAGAAACAGTTCTTGGTGTTGGATTGTGAAGAATATTTACACACTGATCGAGGAGCTACCTTTACCTCTAAAGTCTATCAAGGGTGGGAAAAGGGGAAAATAAAGGATCACCCTGGACCATAGCAGACCTCATCACTCTGAATCAGCAGGAAAGATAGAGAGGAACATCTAAGAAGTAACAAAATGTCTTATTAAACTACTTTAGATACCTGGCAGTAAGAGGACCACCTTACTAAAATAAATTTTAAAAATTAACTATTGCAGTCAGGAGGTACAGAGTCTCCTGTGACTCCATGTTCATTGATATCAATACTTTCTCCATTCAGAACACATCTAGAAATTACAGACATTACTGGGGATAGACTAGCACAGATTCAGCTAAAATAGGAAGTTACTGAAATGATGCACCACACTGGTAAGAAAGCGAGAACACAAAAACAATTAACAAAAAGTTTGTTCTCCCAGATAGGAGAATTGATACATGAAAGAAAGGAATCCTGCACATGGACACTGAAATGGAATCAAAAACAGAAGTTGCTGAAAAAGCTCAGCAGGTCTGGCAGCATCTCTGTAGAAAAAATCAGAACTGAGGAAGGGTCATTAGACCCAAAACATTAACTCTGATTTTTTTCTTCACAGATGCATCCAGACCTGCTGATTTTGCCAGCAACTTCTGTTTTTGCTCCTGATTTACAGCATCCGCAGTTCTTTCAGTTTTTACTGAAATTGAATCATCCATTGCAAATAGAAAAGTCCATAGTGATAGAATGATTGAGATTGAATCCACAGGAACTGGAGGATGAAAACTTACAAGAAATATGTCAATAAATAATTTACAAAGATGGCCAGTTGCTTTAGAACATTGGCTTCAGACAACTACTGTCACCTCTGAGGCTGGATTCATTATAAGTGAGAGCTAGCTGCTTGTAAGTAGAATTATCTAGACAGTGGCTTAACAAGTTTTGATCCTGTATTGATTGGAATGATGTCAGCTGGGTGGATTTCACAGAGTATGAGTTCCCTGATTGGACCAGGTTAACAGGCCCAATCAGACAGTTCCAGCTGATTGATATTAACAGGAGTGTCAGGGGTTCTGTACTGTCTAGGAGTTGGCTCTGAGTTAGCTGGGTCAGTGTCGTGTACTAGGAACGTGTAAATAAAGGTTGACTTGGAGATGGGATACTGGCCATTGTGGATTTATTTCAGATCCTTTGTGGTCCAACTGTACCATGTTAATATTTAGCAGCACTCTCACTGCTGCATTTTAACAGCTCACTTCTGTATGCCTTTGTTTGAAGAAGACAATCTATTGGACAAATTCAAAATCTTCCTCCTTCACAATTGCCTCTGTAGGGAGGATTTTGAGAGTTAAAAAAACAAACCGCTCTAATAAATCTAATTGTGCAACTTTTCCCTGTTTTAGCCACCAAATTATCCAAAAAGGTAACTTTAATCTCCATTATATAAAATGTGTATTCCATTAAGAAACAAAATGGTACAATACCTGTCCTTGTGTAGATGTAAATGGGAGAGGCTGAGCAATGACATCTATATCATCCCCTGAACTTCCAACTGCAGTGTAACTATATGATCCCCTTGTGTATTGATCATTATACCATCTTGATCGAATAATGCCCTTTGGTGGAGGTATCAGTGGGTTTCCTAAATAAAACATAAGCATTTTGTGCAGTATTTCGAAAAAAGATATTTCATATTGCCAAAACATGTCAGAAAATGTACCTGTGAATTTACGTATGATTTGTGTCAAACAATTTTTGACTTCACAATCTGATAGACTCTCCATATAGTTAGCTTCCTCACCAGCAAGTACAGCTAAAATGACATGGCCATACCTGCAGATAGAACATGAGAGACATGAAACCTGGAGAGGCATGAATACTCCTCTACCTGTATTCACACTGCACATCACTCACCTGGCTGAACTCTTTGAATGCTGCAATGTATTCAACAATATATAGATAGTGTTTATTTCATTTTATTAATTTTGAATATTTGTCAAATACAGTTTAACAGTTGAACAATTTTAGGAAATTAGTATTAGCTTTTTAGTACAGAACGGTAATATTCACTGAAAACTTCAAAACCTTTTATTTATCCCAATGTATTCAATCCAGTTTGTCATTTAGTTTCATTGACTATGCATATTTCAAATACAATTACTTCATGCCAATGGAAATGTCAGAGTTATGTGTCAAATTAACACATTTCAAAGGATCTGCAAAATTCTACATTAAGAAATTACTATTTTGTGCATTATGACTTTATAACCATACAGTGGTCTGCAGTCAAGAATCCCAAAGAATTGTTACACTCATCCCTGGAACATCTGGATAACAAGGATACCTACATCAGGCTCCTATTTATTGACTACAGCTCTGCCTTCAACACCATAATTTCAAAAAACTCATCTCTAAACTCCCGGATCTAGGTTTCGGCTCTCCACTTGGCAAATGGAACCTCGACTTTCTGACCCACAGACCACAATCAGTAAAAATAGGCGACAACACCTCCTTCAACATAATCCTCAACACTACAAGGCTGTGTACTCTATATACACTCATGACTGTGTGGCCGAATTCCGCCCCAACTCCATTGACAAGTTTGCTGATAACACCACCGTTGTTGGTCAGATCTCAAACAACGATGAGACAGAATACAGGAAAGCGATTGAGTGCTTAACGGCATGGTGTAAAGACAACAATCTCTCCATCAATGTCAGCAAAATGAAGGACCTGTTCATTGACTTCAAGAAGTGGAGTGGAGGGCACGCCCCTGTCTGCATCAATGATGATGAGGTCGAGATGGTCGAGAGTATCAAGTTCTTATGAGTGATGATCACCAACAACCTCTCCTGGTTCACCCACATTGACGTGATGGTCAAGAAAGCACAACAACGCCTCTACTTCTTTAGGAGGCCAAGGAAATTCAGCATGTCTGCAAAGACTTTTACAAATTTTTATAGATGCACCATAGAAAGCATTGTGTCTGGATGCATGACAATGTAGTAAGGCAACTACTACTATACTCTATTCCACTGTCTTCCATTAGGCAGAAGATATAAAAGATTAAATACATGTACGAACAGATTCAAAAACAGCTTCTTCCCTGCTGTTATCAGATTTTTGAACAGACCACTCAAGTATCCTGATCTCTCTCTCTGCACCTTCTCTGTGGCTGTAACACTGTATTCTGCACTTTGCTCTGCTATCCTGATGCATTTTGACCTGGTTGTATAGCACGCAAAACAACACTTTTCACTGTATCTTGGTACATGTGACAACAAAAAAAAATCAAACTCAAACTCAAGATCACTTCTCTCTGAGAAAAGAAATTCCTCCTCATCTCTGTCTTAAATGGGGGAACCCTTACTCTGAGATTATACCCTCTGGTCCTAGACTGTCCTACAAGGGGAAACAACCTATGAACATAAATCCTGTCAAACCCACTAAGAAACTTGTATGCTTCAATAAGTTCACCTCTCATTCTTTGAAATTCCATTGAGTATAGGCCCAATCTACTCAACCTCTCCTCTCTCCACTTTGTAACATTTACAAAATGAGTTTTATTGAACTTAACCGAAAGAAAACTTCATATTTTGAAAGCTAATATATCCATTCCGTACTCAGGGCACCCAATTGGTAAACAGAATCAGGATTCAACTCTAAATAATGAAGTGTGAATCATCTTTCTGCATAACTTGACATCTGCATTTTATCATTGCAGATTTTAAAAATCACTTGCGTTTAATGGGGGAGAAAAAAAAGAGAGAAGTACAGTCATTTTTAGAAAGAAATTTGCAGATGGCAGCTGTCATCAGACAGGATTTCTGATGGCCAGGTAATTCTTTCTGCAGCAAAGATGGGAGTTCTGCATCGGGACCTTGCAAAATCCTTTACGAAGTAGACTCCGAGAGAATTGAAAATTTCAATGGGCAACTCTCATCCACCTGGAACTCTGAATCTTCTGATTTAAATAGATACTTAAGATACAGAGTTCCACTGCAGTTATGCAAATAGTTGCTCAGGAAACGTGAAGCTATTAAAAACCTAGTCTAATTCTGAAAAAAGAATCAAACTGACCACCCAGCTTAGCACGCTGTCACAATCACACCTCCCCCTGACATCTCCCAGACATCGACGTGCCACTGACTCCGCCGTGCCCCACTCATCTGGCACTCTGTCCGACCTGCACCCTTCCCTCTGGGAACTTCACAACTCCATCCTACTCCCGTAAGACTCATTACACCACTCCCCACCCCACCTATCCCCACTCCCAGATCTGCATTTCTGAAGTTACTGGCCTATCTTAGAAAAAGTGATCGTAATTAAGGTCAAAGGAAAGCCGTTTGATCTGGTTGTCATAAAAGCTTGTGCCCTGAAACAAGATCATAACGATCAGGAAATAGTGGCACGTTATGGTGACATTCTGAAGAATGAAAATCAAATTAACTGGAGTGATAATTGTATTAGAGTCATAGAGTTGCACAGAAATCATTGGTCCTTTGGACACCTTCATGGAAGGGAAAATCTCATCCAATATTTCCAAGACGGAGAGAATCAAAAAGAAATACAGAATTTGATACACACGTATTTAATTATTTCACCAACATAATTACCTTTCCACAGGCCGTAGAATAATAAAACCTAATATCTTTCTGAACCACTCCTTTTGTAGATCTGGCCGTGTGCTGAACAGTGGAGACTCATCCTCCCAGACCAGTCTAACCAGTTGACTTTCTGGTTCCCAAAACGGCTCCTCAAATTCAAGGAAGATTTTATTATTTGTTCCAAAGCCCAGTTTCTGAATGGAATCGATTTTACTGGGAGGAAATGGGGGATGAATAAAAGTTTTATAATGTTCCTTAAGGAAACCTGAAAAAGCAAATGATATCAAATTGAATTGCTGATTACATCCAAACTTTTAAAATATGTACTTGAGGTTATTACAATTAATATAGTCATTGACATACTGCATTAACTAGAAATCAATTTCAGGGAGCAGAGATGCACAAGCCCATGAATAAGGCAGGCATGTGATTTTACCTCACTTCAAACTACCTCTTGCAAGATTTTAAATCTGGCCCTCAGGATGTTTATGCTGAAAGGTTCATGAATACTCCAAATTAGTCCCCCAATCGGATTATTTGAATCCTAAAGTTATATTCAAATAGTCAGAGACATGTATCGAGAATGCAGTCAATAAGATAGTTCTTCAATTAGACCCAATGGAATATCACCGGAATTGTGTTGAGCTCTCAGGCAGTTTGAGACTTAGTGAGATTTATTCTGCAATGAACGTGACATTGAACCTACGGCTCCCTGATTAGTTTTCAATTGAGATTTGAATAACCATAAAGGGTCTACCACCCCAAAATGGGTATAAATGCTATTATGATACTTAAGAACCCAGACACAGAGGCTCAAATGGTGTTTTACCTAAAGGAACAGTGACAATAACATGATCCGCTGGTATAGTTTCCCCATCTTCACACTCCACCAGAACGGAGTAAGAATAGTCCGGTGTATTAGGTGCTTTGAAGGATCCATTCCAATGGATGCATTTAACTGGCTTGTCGTACGATATAATATCCTTTGGCAGAGATCTCCTTATTGCATCAACAAGGCTTGCAAATCCACTAAAAATGTGAATAAGTATTAATTGTCATCATGATTATTATGTTGGAACTGAAAGTTCAGGTCAATAATTACAGTGCAGTTTAACTTTGAGGATCAAGTACTAGCAATATGCAACAAGTTACCTCCTACAAACCTGTTTTGTCTTGTTTCTGGATTAGAAGAACAATACCATTGTGAATTTCAAGTAGGATGGAAAAACTTTGATACACAAATTGTTGCCATTTCACAAACAGCACAGTGAACTTCAGTGGAAGTCCTACCCCATCCTCAAATTTTGTAAAATGGCATCACTGAATTTGAGAGTCTTTGCTCTCTTTTTCTCCTATATCTTTCATTACAATTAGAATTGTACATTCCGTTGGGCAGACTGCACACTCCCCAGGATCTATGGTGAATATATGCGGCCAAGTTACAAATCAGTCATGATCTCACTGAATGATGTAAGAAACTAGAGGAGGCAAAGCTATTTCTGATCCTGAGTATGTGCCTAACGGGTTCCAAAAATAGCTCTGAATTCTAATTGAAGTAATGTACTAAGGGCTTCACTTTATTTTAGGGCCCAGTATTATTAGTATTGAATTGAGAAGACCTTGGATGGCTAGTGGGTAGCTGGTTCGAATTTCAAACTTTTACCTATTGCATTGCCATTCTTCTAGTGCAGATTGTGATGTGGGTGTGCAGGCAGATAGGGTTAGGGTTAGGTTAGTACTGATAGGTATTCTTTAATTAGGAGAACAGATAGGTGTTTTTGCGGCCATCAGCATGGCTCCATTAAAACTATCCTATGATGTTTATACCCCTCTGTAACTTCCTTGCAGATTTGTTCCTGTACATCCTTCCCACCAATTATTGGTCCATTGGTTACACCAAGCAATGTAAATGCATCCTTTTTATTCCTGAGCTGTAGCCAAGTCAATTCTGTCCTTAAGCTCTATGAAACATCGTCTGGCTCCAGTACTGCAATGCTCTCCTTGACCAAAATTACAAGCACTGCATACAGACTGGGATAGTGTAGTGTAGAGGGCAGCAAAGGTTTGTGTTCCTGCATTATATTTAGAAGAGTTTCCTATAGCAGCATGTCTCACATCCAACAAGAATACAGGCACTGCTACACCTAGTTCATGGGAATAATGTGGGCCAAATAGACAAATGACAGTAGGGGAACATTTGGAGAGCAATGATCATTGAAATGTTTGGGATGACAGTGGAAAATAACATTGGTCAATCCAGAGTAAGAAAAATAAACTAGGGACAGCTGACTTCAATGGTGTCAGACCAAAGCTTTGCCAGATAAACTGGAAGCAAAGTTTGGCAGGAAAAACAGTAACTGAACAATCATAGGATCCCTACAGTATGGAAACAGGCCATTCAGCCCAACAAGTCCACACTGACTCTCTGAAAAGCATCCCACCCAGACTCACATGCCTACCCTATCCCTGTAACTCTGCATTTCCCATGGCTAACCCTCCTCGCTTGCATATCCCTGGACACTATAGGCAATTTAGCTCGGCCAATCCACCTAATCTGCATGTCTTTGGACTGTGGGAGGAAACCAAATTACCCAGAGGAAACCCACGCAGATACGGGAGAATGTGCAAACTCCACACAGACACCACCAATGAACTACCTCAAAGAAGAAATTGTTCAAGAAATGATCAAGAAATATTCCCTCAAAAGGGTAATGTAGGATAAACAAATCCAGAGCTCCCTTGCTGACAAATGAAATGGAAATTAAGCACACTTTTCTTCTTAAACCTATGACAGATGTCAGGTAGAGAATAGAGTTGAGAACCAAGCTGAATAGTGAAGGTACAGGACAGAACTAAGAAAACAAATTAAAAAAGCAAAGAGGGATTATGAAAAAAGACGGGCATCTAACATACAGGAAAATCTCAAATTCTTCTATTGGCATATAAAAAGTAACAGGGTTGTAAAAGGAGAAGGGGCAAATAGGAACCAAATAGGGATTTTACACATGGAGGCAAGAGGTACAGGTGAGGTCTTAACGAACACTTTTCTTTACCTGTCTTTTCTGTCCAGGGCTTGGTGACAAAGGAGAGAATACTGTCACTGGAAGGGTTTAAAGCTCTTAGTGAGGACAGTTTTGATAAATATTTGGTGTTTAAATTTGTTAAGGCACTGGGCCAAGATAAGATGCACCCAAAGGTATTGAAGGAAAGGAGAATGGAAATTGCAGTGGCACTGGCAATAATCTTTCAAAGTTCCCTAGTTTTAGGAGTTGTGCCAGAGAACTGGGGAATTGCAAACATTATGCCCTTGTTCAAAAAAGGTTGTAAAGATAAACACAGCAATTACAGGGCAGTCAGTTTAACTTCAGTGGTGTGGAAACTTCTAGAAGCAATCTTTTCAGGATAAAATTAATAGAAAATGAGAGTTAATTGTGAGAGTTAGCATGGATTTATTGAATGAAAATTGTGTCTAACTAACATGCTTGACTTTTTTGAAGCACTAACAGAGAGAGTTAATGAAGGCAAGGCTATTGATATAGACTTCCAAATGATGTTTGATTCAGCGCCACACAACAGACTTGTGAGGAAATTTATAAGTCATAGAATAGGAGACATTAGCAACATGGTTACAAACCTGGTTGAGGAATAGGAAACAGAGAATAATGGTTAATGGATATTATCCAGGCTGGGGGATTGTAGTGGAATTTACCTGGGGTTGCTATTGGGACCCTGCTTTTCCTGATATACATAAATGCTCTGGAACTTTGTGTGCAGGGGATGATTTCAAAGTCTGAGGACTTGGAAACTTGGAAATATTGTAAATTTAAGGACAGTGTGGAGCATCAAAATGACATTGACAAGTTGGACCAGATGAATTCAACCGAGGAGGCATGGAGGCTCAGTGGTTAGCACTGCTGCCTCACAGCACCAGGGACCCAGGTTCGATTTCACCCTCGGCAACTGTCTGTGTGAAGTTTGCACATTCTCCCCTGGTCTGTGTGGGTTTCCTCTGGGTGCTCCGGTTTCCTCCCACAGTCCAAAGATGTGCAGGCTACATGGCTTGGCTATGCTAAATTGCCCATAGTGTCCTAGGGTATGTAAATTAGGTAGATTACACATAGGAAATAGGTTACAGGGAAAGACTAGGGGGATGGGTTTAGGTGGAAAGTTCTTCGGAGGGGCACTGTGGACTTGTTGGGCCAAATGGCCTGTTTCCACACTATAGGGATTCTATGATATTCTATGATAATAATTGGCGGATAGGTTGAATATGGGAAAAGAGGGTCAAATATACTTCCGTACAAAGAACATGGAGAGACAGTACAAAATAAAGAGTACAGTTCTAAAGGGCTTGCAGGAGCAGAAAGACTCGTGTGTATATATGTGCATAATTATTAAAGATAGCAGGACAAGAGAGAGCTGACAACAAAGCATGCAGTATTCTGTACTTCATTAATAAAGGCATAGAGTATAAGAGCTGGGATGTTATGCTGACCTATATAGGACAATGGCTAAACATCAGCTGGAATGCTGTGTCCAGTTCTGGGTGCCACACTTTAGGAAGGATGTGAAGCCATTGGTGACAGCGCAAGAAGAGGTTTTCAGGAATGGCTTCAGTTATGATGATAGGTTGGAGAAGTTGGGACTGTTTTCCCTCAAAAGAAAAGCCTGAGGGAGGTATGACAGAAGTTTTCAAAATCATGAATGGTCCAGACAGAGTGGATAGGGAGAAATCTTCCACTCAAAAATAATTAAGATCCAGAGGGCAGAGTTTTAATTCGTTTTGCTAAATAAGCAAATGTGAGGTGAGAAAATAACTTTTTCATGAAGTGAATGTGAAAAGGAAGTTCCTGGCTTGCATCACGGGAGGTGGTATGTAGCTGAGCTTTAACTATGGTGCCAGTAACGTGAACACCACAGGGTTCCAGAAATGATGAATACTTCCACCTCTTTTGCCACACAATATTACGAGAAGAGCATCAAAACACAGAGTTCCATAATTAATGAGGTGAACAGTACCAGATTATGTGAGAAAAGTCACTGCTAGCTGTGGCAGAATTGAGCACCATGAATCTTACACGACAAAAAACTGACCAAAAACTGCCCATATCTCTTTGACTCTCTTTGTGTGCCCCTTGCAGCTTACATTCCTACCTAGCTTTGTATCATTGTAAAACTTAGATATGGTACTCTGCTTCATCTAAAACATGAAAATAGTTTGTAATTAGTTGCAATCTCAGCATTGACCCTTGCACATTTGAAACCTCAGTAATAAAAAGAGAATGTAGTAACAGTTTTGTACTTAATACCTACCCTGGAAAAACACAATCAATTCCAGATAACACCACATACTCTCCAAAAGGCTGGAGTGCTACCAGATCCAAGCTGTCCGTTCCAGAGATACAACACTCCATCTTGAATTCTGTATTCAGCACAGCAAGTTTAAGGTTACACATTTCCTCATCACCCTTCCAAGCTTCAGCACACCTGGCAATTTCAAGTTTTAGGAATTCACCCAAACTGTGGACAGGTTGTGTCTTTGACTGGAAGAACTTCGTACTTTTTGCCCTAAGTGTTGAATACAATTCTTCCAAGGGAGCCGTTATTTCTCGCCCTACTTTTTTTCCTGAGCTGGTGTAATAGGTTGATACATCAGGTGGTTGTCCATTTCTTTGTACAGCCTCGTTATCCTCTGACATTGCTTCTTCATCCAGAAGATTATATTGGCTGGCTAAGTGAAACACGGCATTCTGCTTAGATGGCCCATGGATCCACTGTGCTCCAATCTCCACCAAACCTTTAGCTGCATGAAGATAAAAAGAACTACACGGATTAAAATACCTTGCAATTTGAGATAGATTATCTGTCTAATCACAGTCAATTGACGTAAATTAAATGGAAAGTCTAATGCTCTTGCTGCCAGATGTAGCCAGATGGGCCACTCAAAATGGCACAATCAGATAGATACACCAGGCATGCTGGGAAATCAAGCCAAGTATTGGCCAAAGTATCTGTGCAAAGATACTGAAATAAACAAGCTGCAGACCCAGACAGGCAGGCTGCAGCTGCAGGCAGCACAATTCACAATTGACTAAGCCTATTTACCAGGAGAATTGGAAACATTGAGCTGTTTCCGGAACAAAGGGACACCTCACACTCTTATCTGGGAAGCCTACCTGACTTACGTGCCCCTGATACTTTCAGGAATGGAGGACCAAAAACCACCCCAGCATCCACATGGCACTGCCTGATTGGGTCTGATCAATCAGAGTAATCGATTCCTGATTGAGCCATTGGTGGGAATCGAAGATCCTCCCAAAGGGGTGTGGAAGCTTCCAAGGATAAGAATCACCACAACAGCACTCTCGGGAGGGTAACTCGAGACCAACCACCGTAAGAAGAGGCGTCCCTGGGACCACTGGGAGAGGAAGACCAGACGAACATCACCATGTGGATCGAGGCCAAGATCTAGTGTGGTGATGTTTGATCATTCCAAGTTATGTTAAAGGACAAGATACTGACTTAGATTTACAATATTAATTGTCAGATTTATCTTATTAATTGTTAGTTTGTTGTATAATCGTTAGTATAGTACTAATTGTGTTATAACTAATAAAGATCATTTCATATTGCTACTAAGAGTCGACTCACAGTCTTTGCGGGATTAACAGGCTAAACGCACTGTGTGGCGAGCGCAACAAATTGGCACCCTGGAT